CAATCCACATCTACAACCTGAAATGCTTCAAGGTAGGAGCAGGTGCTGGAGGGTGCTGCAGGAATGACCCCTGCTGCCCTCCTGCCTTGGGGGCCCGGGTGACGGTGGGCTCAGCGTGTAGGTCCCCTCCCCAGAAGTGATCGCTGCGTCCCCAGAGCGGGGCTGGGAGTGGGCGTATGGGAAAGGGGGGTCAGAGTTGGCCCCGGTCGCTCCCGTTAGCGTGCTGTCCTCCTGCCTTGCAGCATCACTGCATGGTGCCCATGTACAGCTGTGCAGTGACGGCCATCGCCATACACCCCGTCACCAACAACCTCGTTATCGCCTACTCGGACCAGCAGGTAGGAGCTCTCCGGGTCGCAGCCCTTGTGGCCCTGGCTCCTTCCCTGCAGCTCTCTCTCTGGCCTCGGTGCTTTCTGGCTGCACTACCATACCTCGTGAGCCACCCCGACTCCCCTCCTCCTGCCTCTCTAGCTGTTCGAGTTCAGCATCCCCGAGAAGCAGTACACGGCCTGGAGCCGCATGGTGCAGAACTGCGGGCTGCACAAGGTCTGGCTGGAGAGGGACTCTCCCATCACCCACATCACCTTCAACCCCAAGAACCCCTCACACATCCTGCTCCACGACATCTACATGTTCTGTGTCCTCGACAAGTCCCTGGTGAGCCTGCGTGCCTGGTTGGGAGGGCTGGGTTTGTGCCCAGGGCACCTCCCCTGCCCAGCCCAGCAGTCCCTGTCCCCACTGGGAGTGGAGGGAGCGGTGTGTGGCCCTGAGGCCGTGGTGGTCTGGGCAGCGCTGACACATGCCGTGTGCTCTCCTCGCAGCCCCTGCCAGACAACAGCACCCTCCTGATGAACCAGGGCACCCTGAAGCAGCTCCCAGAGACAGCCAGGCAGCGGCAGCTCCACGCCTTCAAGATCTGCAAGAAGTTCCAGGTAGGTGACGGGGTTGCTGGGCGTGTGCTGTGTCGAGGAGGGGGTGCCCTGTCCCCACGGTCCCTGCGGCCCCACCTGCTCTTGTGCCCAGTCACTACCAGTGCCGGATGCCCAAGTGGCAGAGCAGAGCTTGGTGTCGGTCCCTGTCACGGTGCAGCCGCTTGCTGCGATCTCGGCTCCGATTGCCCAGCAGCTCCTGCAGCACACAGCACCAGGCAATGCCGCTGGTTATGGCTAAG